AATGAGAAGTCGGAGGCAGTGAGGATCAAAGCAATCACGTGGTCACAGTCATTGGAATGGTCAGGGCAGGAGGCATATATTCATAATCCAGCAGTCATGTCAAGGTTCAGAAATCCAGCAGTCAAATAGAAAGAAATTAAAGGAGGACTAAAATTATGTACAGAAAGCTGGGCTTCAAGCACGGAGCCAACACAATGAACGGAGACTGGTTTGACCATGCTCTGGGGACTGCAAGGCTCGAGTGATTCCAGATGCATATTTGATTCTGGTAATATCTGTAGTGTAAAGAGAGGCAACCATCATTATGTGATGGTGGATGCTTCAGCTCAGTAACATCAAACGTGAAGACCTTTAGAAATCAAAGTTTTAAAGGACAACTGTCACCTCAAAACTATTTTCTAATATAATAATCCTTCATCAAGTTTTGAAGAGATGTGTGTCTGTTTAAATGAAGTATATGTTAAAAATTGAAGATTATGCTAGCTTCAGTGTACAGATAATCTTAATTTTAATAATGACAGGAGGCGAGTATTTTGCATAATCTTTCTTTACTAACTCCATAGCAGCAAAGAAAAGAGTGACATAACTGAGAACCAATCACAATGCAGTATAGAGTATAAGAGGTGTAACGTATGACATCATTTCCTCTTAAGGCATGCGACATCACAAGATCACAATGCAGAATAACAATAAATATAACTTATAACATGTAAATTGAACATAAACAGATAGACTCCCAGGGAAGAGTTCTTGATGTCAAGTGACGATCTTCCATGACAAGACGATCATGACATTTCGAAAGGAGTCTTTAGTGTCCTGATTCATCTGGTTAAACTGAAACGAGAATGTAAAGGGTATTAGACTCCAGATATGGTTGTGTAAAAACAATGAGCTGTCTATCCCCTATGATTAAGTAAACCATAATTATTGCAATAGAGCGAATACATTCCTCCCATCTATTGATGCTAACTAAACCATCCCACCCATATGGTATATCTGTATTAAGTGTGAGAAAAACCAACTTAGGCATTAGCACAATAATAACATGTGAATAAAGAGATAGAAATATACATGAAGGCAGAGGGGAGGGGGGGGGAGAGCGAAAGAGAGCAGGAAGGGAAAATACTCGCCTCCTGTCATTATTAAAATTAAAATTATCTGTACACTGAAGCTAGCATAATCTTCAATTTTATCACATGACAGGAGGCTTCGTATTTTGCAATTTCAACGCTGAGAAAGTAGAGCAAAAGCTGGATTAGATGGAGGACGGAAGTAGAACGTCCTAAAGGTGGATTCTCTAGTCCAGTCCGCCACTCGTAAAATATCTGGAAGGGAGGCCCCTGCCGCGTAGGCAGAAGAGGCCGCGGCCCCTCGAACTGAGTGTGCTACAAAAGCCTGGTCTATCCCGGCAAGGGCTAATAGCCATCTAACCCATCTGGCCAACGTAGTAACCGAGACTGGAGCGTAGGGGCGGACGTAAGACATGAGAAGTTGACGATTGGAAGTAGGCCGCAACGTCGCGGTGGCTTCCACGTATCGACGAAGAGTAGAGACCACACAGAGCTGAGGGTCTGAGGGAAAAAAGGGGTAAAAAACAGAGGAAGAGTCAGATTTCGTGCGCCTAGAGACCGGAAAGGTTACTCCGGCTGGGAAAAAGGTAAATGCATCGGCATCAAAAGTGCGTACATCGGACACCTGACGAAAGGAGACTAGGCAGAGTAGGAAGGTGAACTTTGCCGTAAGCTGGTGGAGTGATAAGTTCTCGTTAGGAGGCCAGTCCCGTAAAAACTGTAAGACTATGCCAACGTCCCAAAGTCTCGAGTATTTGGGCTCTGGGGTGCGCCGAAGGTGCATTCCATGGAGTAGTCTACAGATGAGTGGGTTCTGGCCCACTGGTGTCCCTTGAGTCGGCGTATGAGCCGCTGAGATGGCTGAACGTATCACGTTGATGGATGGGTATGACTTCCCAGCTGTGAACAGAGAGGTGAGGAAATTCATGATGGAGGGAATAGGTAACGTAAAGGGATTGAGATCCCGTCCCAGACACCAAGTTGTCCAACAGTGCCATGCTGATAAGTAGCACCTCCTTGTTCCTGACGCCCATGAGTCCCATAGGAGCTCCCTAGTTTCCTGCGATAAATCCTCGGTTCGCCAGGAACCCCTGAAAGAGTCCAGGCCACCAGGGGGAGCCGGTCCTCCCTGACCAGCGGATGGGGTAGTCCCATCGGTTTCCTGAGAATGGTCGGAGTATCTGGTAGGAGCAGGGGATCCCTGTTCGACAGCTCCAGAAGATCCGGGAACCATGGTTGGCTTTGCCATAGAGGCGTGATGAGGGTCAGTATCACCCTCTGCATGCGAATTCGGTGGAGAACCCTCGTAATCATTGAGAATGGAGGGAATGCGTAAGCCCCGTGTTGTGGCCATTGATGTAGGAACGCGTCCGTTGCTAGACTCTCCGGATCTGGGAGCCAACTGAAGAAGTCCTTCGTCTGATGGTTTTTGCGGGAGGCGAATAAATCCGGGGAGAAGGGACCCCTTTGTGCGTCCAGAATTGTGAAAGTATGAGGGTCTAGTTGCCAGTCGCTGGCGTGTTTGTTTCTCCTGGTAGGTGTTCCGCTAACAGCGTGATGTTGCGAGGCAGGCAATAATCGAAGATTTCCTTCGTGAGTTCTACTAGTGTTTGGGAGCGGGTGCCTCCGCGTCGGTTGATGTATCTTACCACCGAGACATTGTCCATCCGGAGCAGGATGCAGCAGTTGGATCGTTCTTTTGCTAGACTGCGAATGGCGAATGATCCCGCCAGGAGCTCCAGACAGTTGATGTGCATTGAAAGTTCTTGGGGAGTCCACACTCCCCCCGTGGAGGAGGTGCCGTCTGTTGCTCCCCAGCCTGAGCGTCTGGCGTCTGACTCCAATATGAAATCTGGTTGGTTTCCGAATATCGCCCGGCCGTTCCAGGCCTGCATGCAGTTCAGCCACCAGTGCAGTTCTCTTCCGAACCTCGTCCGACATGGGGACCGGTTGGTCCTATGTTGGGTCTTTGCGAAGGAACTTTGTCTTGAGGCGTTGCATGGCTCTGTAATGTAGGGGTCCAGGAAAGATGGCCTGGATGGATGACGAAAGGAGGCCCACGATCCGTGCTAGCAGTCGTAAAGGTATGGATGTCAGTCGAAGTACCTTCCGAATTTCTCTGCAGATGGTGGCAATTTTTGCGTCCGGAAGGCGTAGAGTGCACGATGTTGAGTCTATCTCGAACCCAAGGAATTCGACCGACTGAGCGGGAGTCAGTGATGACTTGGGGCCGTTGATAACGAAGCCCAGTGAGTTGAGTAGGTGTACGGCGTAGTCTGTGTGCCTCTTTAGGGTCCTTGCATCCTCGTCGAATATCAAGATGTCGTCGAGGTAGACAATGCATCTTATGCCTTGGGCCCTCAGTCTCGCCATTACCGACTTCATCATTTTGGTGAAACACCATGGGGCCGAATTGAGGCTGAACAGGAGACAGGTGAATTGCCAAGGTGTCCCGTGCCAGTAGAAACTTAGATACGAGCGGCTCCTTTCGTGCACAGGGATGGTGAGGTATGCATCCTTTAGGTCTAGAAGCGTAAACCAGTCGTTGTCTCGCAGTAGGTCCCGGAGAAGATGGACACCCTCCATTTTGAAGTGGCGGTACACCACGTAGGAATTGAGCTCCTTGAGGTTGATGACGGGTCGGAATTACCCGGTTTTTCTTCCTGACCAGGAAGATATTGCTGTAGAACCCGGTTGAATCTGGAACTGGTTGGATGGCACCCTTGGAGTGTAAGTCCTGAAGTTCCGTGTCTATCAAAGAAGCGTCCGCCTGTGAAAACTGAATCGGGCGTGGTGGGGCCTGTTGGAGTGGCCTCGTCTCAAATTCTATTTGATAGCCCCGCACCGTCCGAAGTATCCATGTGTTGGAGGATAGGTCTGCCCAATTCTGGAAAAAAGAGAAACACGACCTGCGATATGGCAAGGGGTTAGAGGTAGTATAGAATGGTAACTTACTGTTGGAGAATCTCGCTCTGGAGCGTCCTCGGCCACCACGGCCACGGTCCGATCCCCTGAACTGATGGAATCGATGGCGGGCAGATGGAGCTGTGTAGAATGGTTGTGTCCTGGTTGTGTGGGGGGCCGGATGGCCAGAAGCGGCTGGTGGCACAGCCCCTCTGCCGACCAGCCCTCCCAATAACACCATGGGTGTTGTGGCCGCGGAATACTTTCCGCATTGACGTTTGTGCCTTATTGAGGGATTTTAATATATTGACCCTCTTAATAAGCTCAGTAAGGAAGGCCTCTCCAAACAATTTGCCCTGTGCCAAGGGGCCCAATTCTTTATCCCCCAGTTTGACAAGCTTGTCGTCAATTCTGAAAAGTGCTGCTCGACGCCTCTCCGAAGAGAGGGCCACATTAGTGTTCCCGAGGAAACAGAAGCACCTCTGTGCCCACTCTCGGGTATCCTGTGCCCACTCACGCACCATATCTGGGGAGAAGTCATTAGCCCTTTCAATGGCCCAATGGTGTCTAATAGTTTGTCCTGGGCTCCCTTAAAGCCACGTTTCACTCCCTTGCGTGGGTCCCGACCCCCGCGGGACATGAATGTGGTCATAAGGGGGTCGAATTCAGGGGTGTGTGCTACCTTATCTGGTAGGCTCGGGCGAGGACATTCAGATCTCATATGCTTTCTCACTTCTTTGTCCAGAGACTTCCGGAGCCAGAAGTGCATGAATCTGGTCAAGTGTTCGGGTGGCATCCATTCTTCCGAACGAGAATGGCGAATGTTGCTAGGATCGAACATTCGGAGGCCAGAATTGTCCAAAAATATTTCTGAACCCTCTTGTGGGGTGTCCATGGTTGTGGCCACGGAGTCCTGGGGCTCACCCAGGGTCTGTTCCCCTATGAGATAAGGGTCAGACTTGGCAGCGGAGTCCCAGTCGGACTCCTCCTGGTCGGAGGCAGCCGCCTGCCATTCATCAACCACGGCTAGAGCATGTGATGGACCTGCGTCCTCTTCCCCAGAGGAAGCCAGAGCGGGTTTTGGGACGATCTGCTCGTGTCTCGTCTGCGTTTAGGGTCCTTTCCTTTGGATTTACGTGGTCCCATAGCCTTGCCTTTCCAATGGCGCTTAGGGGGGTGGGAGCGTTCCCTGGAGGAATCGGAGTCTTCAGAATCCGCCCCATAATGAGCCCGTTTGGGAATGGGCTTAGATGCATCTTGTTCCAATTGGAACGACTTAGCCATAGCCTTTTCCATGGACGCAGCTACCGCTGCTGCAATCATGGCCTGGTGATCTGAGGGATTTTGGGATTCTTCCCGGTGAATATGTGTGATGGCACTTGTGGCACAAAATGGAGAGGCCTGGGGACCAGGGGGTGGTATAGAAATAGGTAATGGTTAACCTGAAAGCGATATATGACTGGTAGGTCAAGCGAGGGCTGTCACTCGGGCTCACCCAGGAATTTGGAATCCTGCATAGACAGGTCCGTTCAGCAGCACATGAATGGGGGCTCACCCCTGCCAGAATAAGGGTAATCCAACTGGCTGATACCGACCCAAAGTGCAAAGCACTAACCTGATAATGGTCCCACAGTGAGCTAATAAGGATGCAGAGTTCAGGAGTGTATTCCAGAGTATCTGGCAGTAGTAATAGACTGGAGTCTGCAACAGGACAGTAGTAGCCGTTTAAAATGGCCACCGGACTGAAAGCAGTAAGAAATGGGAGGTTTAGTACCTCCCCTAGATGAAAGGGCGGCAAAAATGACACGAACGCCGGGCGTTCGTGCGTACGAATCAGCCGAACGCGAGCGCCAATAGGTGGTGCGAGCATTCGGCTAATACGCGCGAACGCGAACGCCTAATACAAGGCGTTCGCGGGGGTTTTGCCGAACTCTAGGCGTTCGGCAAAGGAAACAAGCCTATGCTCGTAAAGACTTCCTGTAAAGGGTTAGGCTAATAAAAGCAGTAGAAAAATGTCCCAGAGCCAGAGCGGTGGGGGGATGTGGGGGGAAAGCCCCCAAAGGTATTAATAGTAGTAGGATAGTAGATAATAGTTCAGAAATAGATATGACAAATAGTGTAAGGGCAGAGAAACCAAGTCTGTACTTATCTTGTGATGGAGCAGCAAAGAAAGAGGAAATGATGTCATACGTTACACCTCTTATACTCTATACTGCATTGTGATTGGTTCTCCGTTATGTCACTCTTTTCTTTGCTGCTATGGAGTTAGTAAAGAAAGATTATGCAAAATACGAAGCCTCCTGTCATGTGATAAAATTAGAAAAAACTGTGCAGGGAGTGAAGTAGAAGATCATGGAGACTAACTGTAGGTTGTTTGGAAACACTGTCTGACCCAATGCGCATTTATATGGCTGAAGGATCCCATTATATACTAAAGGGATTTTCTCTTTTTTTTCATATACTTTATATAAAAACATACATGTTTCCATATCCAGTCCATGTCAGGGATTTCAGATCTCATTGTCATAGTGCACTGACTTGAACAACTGTCAAAAAAAGTCTGCTTATTAACTTTCCTGCACTCAGTTGTGTTAGTAGCCAGAGGTTGCAAACAGGAACGAGAGACCAAGACACAAAGGATGAAGTGATATCTCAGTGTGTGTGTCATCCTGCTGCTATTAAAGGGGCACGCCTGGCACCAAAACAACTTCATCTAAATGAAGCTCACTCTTACCTCAAGGGGTTAAACCTTTGGCAACAGTAGTGTATTTACCTGCCCATACAGTAAACTATTGTCCAAACCACACTCCTATAAAATAAATGTGTTTATGAGGGGCTGTCTTGAGACTTTCTTTTCCCACAGAAATCTCACGTTGCTTTACATTGCTGTTATTACTGCAATAGATTCTGGGTGGGCATATGCAAATGAATTCAAGAACCACTTTTGTGCCTCATAAATTATATATATATATATATATATACTGTATATAAAATATAATTCTATTTATTTTTTTATTCCTATAAAAAATATATATTTTATTTATTTATTTTTGTAGTTATGTTGTCTGTGCTGCAAGTGAAGACAAGAGCAACATTTCATATGATTTCATTAAAGAAAGTGTTATGTGACAAAGAAAATCCCCTTCTTCCCCTATATGTAGTTGGGGGCTGTAGAGTTTGGATTCCCAGGCTGCGCACAGTTTGTGGGGGAGGACAGAGATCAGATTGTGCTTACTAAAACATTATCTTGACACTAGACCACAAAGTAACCACAGACTGTCCGTCTGCTTCTATGGCAACATCTAGAGCCAGCAGAGTTTCCTAGTGTCAACTGCAGGACCCTGCCTGCCTTTATGGTATAAATAGATGGGCAGACAGGGCATGCATTCTGCACTGTTGCTGTACCTGACTGCTTGTTACTTGCAGATTCCCAAGGAGCAGATCACGCAGTCATGTTTTCTGAGGTTTTTGCTCAAACTCAGCGGAAATTCTATCCTTGGATGTGACCATCCCATGATGGATAAAAAAAACAGAATTGATGAGGCTGTATTAGCTAAACCTGGTTTTCTCTTGATCCAGATTAAAGGCTTTAGACTGGTTCATGTTATAGTGATCTAATCATGCAAGGTAATATTAAATAGTATCCTGCCCTTTCTAATACCACATTTTTTTTATTGACAAAATTAGATTGCCAAATATTTTCATATACAGAGGCTTTTAAGGGAGTGCAATATAAATGTTTATTTTAGGACTGTAGGGGAATGAAAGATTGCAACATAAGCAGACAGTATTAAAAGTGATGTGTGTGATGAAATAAATCCAATAAACTATTGCATATTTTGTCAGCATTTTTCCCATTTTCGGAGTGTATAGATGCTTTTTAATTTTGTTCATTATTACCTTTATACCGAGGCCAGTGCTGTATGTATCACAAGGGCGGTACTTTCCGGGGTGGGGGTAGTGCAAAACACGCTGCTCCCAATTGCCTTGTTAGCCTTGTGTCATGAGTGCGTAAGGGCTATCCAACAGGCCAGCTCAGCCTCCCCCAAGGAGGGTTGTTGCCGGTTGTGAGCAATACAGGTAAGCTGTAATTTTCCTGTCCTGCTCCTTTGCGCGTCATGCTGTGTGGCCGGGTTAGACGTGAGTCTAGCCACACCATCAGTAAACAGTGCCTGAAGGAGCAGAGCAAGAAGAGCTTACAGGATCATAGCAGCCACACTAGACCTCAGGGAAATAATCCACTCCAGCTCTCCCACAGGCAGGGAGGCTGAGTGGAGTTAAATCAAAATAAATAATAATAATAATTTGTGAGTGCGTGACAAAATTAGTTTTTCAGTATCATTGTGTATGTCTGTCAGTGTATGTGTGTGTGTGTCTGTGAGTGAGTATCTGTCAGTGAGTGTGTGTGTCAGTGAATGTGTGAGATTGTGTGGCTGTTAGTGTATGTGTCTCTGAGTGAGTGTGTGTGCTAGTAAATGTGTGTGTGTCAGCGTGTCTCTAATCAGTGAGGGTGTGTCTGTGAGTGTGTGTCAAATCAAATAGAGTGTGTGTCTGTCAGTGAATGTGTGTAATTGTCAGTGAATATATGTGTGTCTGTCTTAGTGTGTAACATCGGTGAGAGTGTGTTTTTGTCAGTGTGTGTGTCTGTGAGTGAGTGTATGGCAGTGCATGCGTATCTGGGAGTGTGTGTCTGTCAGTGAGTTGGTGTGCCAGTGTGTGTCTGTCACTGAAAGCTTGTGTTGGTTAAACAATGTGTGTGCCAATGACTGTGTATCTGCCAGTGAGTGTTTGTCAGTGTATTTACCAGTGAGGGCATGTGTCTGTCAGTTAAAGTGTGTGTTTGCCAAAAAATAGGAAGAGTTGTGGCCTTGACAGGAAGAGGGTGGCAAGTTTAGATTAGTGGGGTGCATGGGTTTATTAATGCCTGGGGCAGCACAAAACCAAAATACACCACTTACCAGGGTGTGAGCAGGGGAGCAGTCACTTTACCAGCCCTTTTGCATACTTTCTGCGGTCTCACAACATCATTCTTCTGCTGAATAAAATATGTGCAAGGTGTGCTGGGATGTCTGCAGAAAAGAGACACTGGAATGAATTATGTAATGACTTTCCTACCACAGCATGGTGTGTGTAAGCCAATAGTGCGTGTTTGTTATCTGGCTGGTGGCGTTCGATCACAATGTTCTCCATCTTTGGACTAGTACTCTGGGGCATTTCCTGGGAGACTGACTGTAGCCCATGGAGCAGCACAGCTAAGGGCAGTCACTTTACCACTTTACCAATTGTCTTGTTAGCCCTGTGTCATGGGGGCGTAAGGGCTATCCAACAGGCCAGCTCAGCCTCCCCCAATTGCCTTGTTAATCTCGTGTCATGGGGGCATTGCTAGGAGACAGGCATACAAAGGCTGTAGTGTGGGATTGGCTAAAGGATTGGGGCTGGTGTTTTGGCTAAAAGAGTATATATAGTGGTCATTTTAGATCAGGGGCCATCTTAAATTAATCCTCACTTACCTGTTTTTGTCCCACCCTCCCTCCCTTTTTGTTTTAGCTCCTGTTGGGTAACGGCAGCAGGAGATGGATAGACAAGTTGGGGTGTAGGTCGTTTGTTCAGATGTAAAATAGCTTAGTTCGCTAAAAACAGTTAGGTTTGGAAGGGTATTGGTAGGTTAGAGCTTGTTGAACCTAGTGTGTCTAGGGTGTATCTCAGGATACCCCTACATTGTGAAACCTGGAAATTCATGCCCTCGGTTTTATACGTTAATGATATGTTATAATGTGGTATCATTTATTGTTAATGTGGGTCATTCTCTGGGGTAGAACTGTTAAAGGAGTTGGGGTTGAAATATAACATTTAAGTATGTTGACAATAACCTGAAAAATGTTTAATTGTTTATTTATATTTATAATTTTCCTGAATATAAGGTGTCTGAGTATCCATGGGGGTTTTTAGGGTTTTATAAGGCATATGCCAAAAAGGCGACTATGCATGTGATTCGGGGCTGATCAGACTAACAAGCTTAGTATGATTATTATGAGTGATTTCCCAGGATATGTTTGAAAGTAGTCAGAAGATGAGATGAGACAGTCCTCAAGACATTCATAGGTTATGCTGGTTGTCATTGGCGGCAACAAAGGCAGTAGACAGAGCCTACATCTTTTAAGCATGCACAGATATATGTCAGAATTTCATCATGCTGAACAAAGGATACATAATGTTACACCTTGCAACTCCAGGAGCATCCATCTGTTGAAATCATATTTATTGCATGTACTATGCAAATAGGGTCATACGCAAAGAGATCTGGGAACATGCATATTTATTTA